TCTCCGACTCAGGGTTAATCAAAAGTTTTTATGTGCGTTTTATATTTTAAGTTTTATATTAAGTTTTATATTTTTATTTTCTTGGTAATTCGTTTCAACACAAAGTTTGTATCAAGTTTGAAAACTTTTGAGTCCATTTTTGGTGGAATTACAAATTTTGCAAACAGTTTACAAGTTGCTCTGGAATTTTCCATGTCGAAATTTTTAATAATTACACTATCGTTAAGATCCATTTCAAATCAAGATTAATAGAGAAATAACAATTCTATTAGCAATTTGCGAAATCTAATTTGCAAGAATAATTTCATTTGTTAAATAATATTCAACCTTACATTTTAAATTTCACTATTGTGTATAATATTATGTAATTTAAATATTATTTCATATTACTACATTTTACATCACAATCAGTTAATTATAGGCGTCGCACATCGATTTTCGATACGGTACTTTCGGAATTCGATATTCTCGAAACGTCGCAGTTTCGAACATTTTCGCCAGTCGCGCGCAATATTCCGGTCGTTCAAACCGCCAGTTCTCCCGAACTATAATTTTTCATCCTCTTTTTGAGCTCCAATCCAAAAGAAAGTTTGAATCAATTCGGCGATTAAATTTAACGAGAGCTACCTACATTTTCTCGCGAGCTCGCACACGACGATATTCAAATCTACGACACAAGCATGGGAGTAACAGAATCTTCCGACGCGCGAAGGAAAAAGCGTTGTCAAAGCGCGTATGTACTAGGCAACGACGAACGAACGAACGAACGGACGGATAGACAGATCGCGTCACGCACGTGTCACCAAGAAGCACGGAAAAATAAGCCAGGTGATAAAAGCAACATATTAGCAACTCACGTTTTAGCGGTTTGGGGTTGCTCTGCTTGCGACGTGACATCCTCTGCGCTCTGCCATCACCCGCTCAGCGTGGACATGTTGCGTTGCGTGGGCGCAGCGTGGCGGCGGTGATCACAGGTGAGATTTGGACGGTCAACAAACCGCGGACACAGCACACGTGCGACAACTGCTAGTACGTGGCGGGAACAAGAAGAGTGAGGATAAGGCGACAAAGAGAGAGAGAGAGAGAGAGAAGAAAAAAAGAGCAACGAGAAGCCGACGATCACGGGACAGGACGGGACAGCACGACGTAGCGTGAGAAGATGCACTTCCGACACGGCACGAGAGAGGCCTCGGATTTTCGTCCGCAATTTTCGTGATGGTGGAACGCGAGAAGATCGTCAATGTGCAACGATGACAACGACGACGACGGCGACGACGACGAGGGCAACGACAACGTGCGAATGATGCGATCGACGACGCCGGCAGCGCGGCGCTTCCGGGAAACGCGAGCGCGCACACCGATCACGTGCAGACGCGGCCGTTGTCA